CAATGTCGGGTTTCAGCCTCCACACCCTCCCCCGTTCCCGCCGTGTCCTTGCGGCCGTTCCCCCCTCGCCGCTCCCGGTGCCGCTCCCGGTGCCGCTCCCGGTGCCGCTCCCGCCGCCGCCGCCGCCGCCGCGTTGTTTAATGTTTCAATTTGGAGGAAGCCAAACATTCAATCAGGCGGATTAAGCGCCTAATGCCGCCCATCGCTCACTGTCGCCGCCGCTGTCGCCGCCGCCGCGCCCGGGGAGACGCGGCCGAGCCCCCGCGGGGTCCCCGAGGATCGCGGGGGGACCCCGGTGATGCCCCGGGGTGGATAAAAGGGACCCTGAGGTGGCCCCAGGGTGGTCAAAAGGGTCCCAGGGTGACCCCAGGGTGGCTAAAAGGGACCCTGAGGTGGCCAAAAGGGTCCCCGAGGATCGCGGGGGGACCCGGTGATGCCCCGGGGTGGATAAAAGGGACCCTGAGGTGGCCAAAAGGGTCCCCGAGGTGGCCCCAGGGTGGTCAAAAGGGTCCCCGAGGTGTCCAAAAGGGTCCCCAGGGTGGCCGAAAGGGTCCCCGAGGATCGCGGGGGGTTCTAGGTGATGTCCCGGGGTGGGCAAAAGGGTCCCAGGGTGTCCCCGACGTGGCCAAAAGGGTCCCTGAGGTGGCCAAAAGGGTCCCCGGGGTGGCCTAAAGGGACCCTGAGGTGGCCAAAAGAGTCCCAGGGTGTCCCCGGGGTGGGCAAAAGGGTCCCCGGGTGGTCGAAAGGGTCCCCGAGGTGGCCCCAGAGTGGCCAAAAGGGTCCCCGGGGTGGCCAAAAGGGACCCTGAGGTGGCTAAAGGGACCCAGGATGGCCAAAAGGGTCCCCGAGGTGGTCAAAAGGGTCCCTGAGGTGGCCCCGGGGTGGCTAAAAGGGTCCCCGAGGTGGCCCCAGGGTGGCCAAAAGGGTCCCAGGGTGGCTCCAGGGTGGCCAAAAGGGTTCCCGAGGTGGCCCCGGGGTGGCCAAAAGGGTCCCAGGGTGGCCAAAAGGGACCCTGAGGTGTCCCCAGGGGGGCCAAAAGGGTCTCCGAGGTGTCCCCGGGGTGGTCAAAAGGGTCCTCGATGTGGCTAAAAGGGTCCCGAGGGTGTCCCCAGGGTGGCCAAAAGGGTCCCCGGTGACGCCCCGGGGTGACCAAAAGGGTCCCAGGGTGTCCCCACGATGCCCCCCAGTGACCCCCAGTGTCCCCAGAGTGTCTCCACGATGTCCTTGGGAACACTGGGGGGACATTGTGGGACCCCCGGGGGGGCGGGGGCTCATCCCGGGGGCTCGGCGGGACCGGGGGGGGGGGGGGTGTCCCGGTACCGGTACCGGTACTGGGGGGTTCCGGTCCCGGTGCTGATCCCAGTCCCGAGGGGGGTCCCGGTCCCGGTCCCAGTCCCAGTTCTGGTCCGGGTTCCCGGTCCGGTTCCCGGTGCCGGTCCCGGTTCCCGTTCCCAAGGGGGGTCCCAGTCCCGGTCCCGGTGCTGGTCCGGGTTCCTGGGCCGGTTCCCGGGGCCGGTCCCGGTTCCCAGTCCCGAGGGGGGTCCCGGTCCCGGTCCCGGTCCCTGTCCTGGACCGGGTTCCCGTTCCCGAGTGGGGTCCCGGTCCCAGTCCCGGTCCCGGTTCTGGTCCGGGGTCCCGGTCCGGTTCCCGGTGCCGGTCCCGGTGTCGGTCTCTGGTGGGGGGTTCCCGTTCCGGTTCCGGTTCCCGGTGCGGGCCAGCTGCACTTGCCCGCTGATCAATATTCGATTTAGGTGCTAATTCGCCCCAGGTACCGGTTCCCGGTGCCGGTTCCGACCTCGGTGCCGGTTCCCGGTGCCGGTTCCCGGTTCCGTCCCCGGTTCCCGGTGCCGGTTCCCGGTGCCGGTTCCCGGTGCCGGTTCCGATCCCGGTTCCCGGTTCCGATCCCGGTGCCGGTTCCCGGTTCCCGGTTCCGTTCCCGGTTCCCGGTTCGGTTCCCGGTTCCGTCCCCGGTTCCGATCCCGGTGCCGGTTCCCGGTTCCCGGTGCCGGTTCCCGGTTCCCGGTGCCGGTTCTGATCCCGGTTCCCGGTTCCCGGTCCCCGGTTCGGTTCCCGGTGCCGGTTCGGTTCCCGGTTCCCGGTTCGGTTCCCGGTTCCCGGTGCCGGTTCCGTGCCCGGTTCCCGGTCCCCGGTTCGGTACCAGTTCCCGGTTCCCGTTGCCTGCCCGCTGATCAATATTCGATTTAGGTGCTAATTCGCCGCCGCCGGAGCTGTCAGCGGGTGATGGATGGGGGGCGGCGGGGGCGGGGGGCGCGGGGGGGCACCGGGGGAACCGGGGGGGACCGGAGGGGGCCGGGGGGGACCGGGGGATACCGGGGGGAAATGGGGGGGAAATGGGGCTGGGGGCACCGGGGGGAAATGGGGCTGGGGGGCACCGGGGGAACCGGGGGAGCACCGGGGGGGCTGAGGAACCGGGGGGCTGGGGGGAAATGGGGGGAAATGGGTGTGGGTCCTCGGGGGGCACCGGGGGAACCGGGGGGGAACCGGGGGGAAATGGGGCTGGGGGCCACCGGGGGAACCGGGGGGCACCGGGGGGCACCGGGGGGGAAACCGGGGGGAAATGGGTCTGGGGGGCACCGGGGGAACCGGGGGGAACCGGGGGGGGCACCGGGGGAAAATGGGTCTGGGGGGCACCGGGGGGCACCGGGGGGGACCGGGAGAACCGGGGGGCAATGGGGGGAAATGGGTCTGGGGGACACCGGGGGAACCGGGGGTGGGCTGGGGGGTGCTGGGGGGATCGGGGGGGACCCGGGGGAAATGGGTCTGGGGGTCCCCGGGAGAACCGGGGGAGGAACCGGGGGGGATCGGGGGGGGGGAAAGGGGGGGAAATGGGTCTGGGGGTCCCCGGGGGCAGCGGGGGGGATCGGGGGGGGGAACCGGGGGGAAATGGGTCTGGGGGCACCGGGGGGCACCGGGGGGCACCGGGGGGCACCGGGAGGGGAACCGGGGGGGGAACGGGGGGGGAACAGGGGGGAAATGGGTCTGGGGGTCACCGGAGGAACCGGGGGGGACCGGAGGGAATGGGGGGGAAATGGGGCTGGGGGTCCTCGGGGGGCACCGGGGGAACCGGGGGGGAACCGGGGGGAAATGGGGCTGGGGGCACCGGGGGGCACCGGGGGGAGGAACCGGGGGGAAATGGGGCCGGGGGTCACCGGGGGGGAACCGGGGGGGATCGGGGGGAAATGGGTCTGGGGGTTCCCGGGGGAACTGGGGGGAAATGAGACTGGGGGTCCTCGGGGGGCACCGGGGGAAATGGGTCTGGGGGGGCACCGGGGGAACCGGGGGGGACCGGGGGGCAACGGGACCCCCGGGATCGGAACCCCCGGGGATGGGGAGGGGGAAAACCCCCCCGAGAGACCCCTCCCCAAAACACACCCGGGGACCCCCAAATCCGCCCGGGGACCCCCCAGAATCCCACCAGGGACCCCCAAATCGGGTCAGGGACCCCCAAAACCAACCCGAGACCCCCAAAATTTGGGTCAGGGACCCCCAAACCCAACCCGAGACCCCCAAAATTTGGGTCAGGGACCCCCAAACCCCACCCGAGAACCCCCAGAACCAACTCCGGGATCCCCAAATTTGGGTCAGGGACCCCCAAACCCAACCCGAGACCCCCAAAATTTGGGTCAGGGACCCCCAAACCCAACCTGAGACCCCAAAATTTGGGTCAGGGACCCCCAAATCGGGTCAGGGACCCCCAAACCCAACCCGAGACCCCCAAAATTTGGGTCAGGGACCCCCAAACCCAACCCGAAGACCCCCAAAATTCGGGTCAGGGACCCCCAAACCCAACCCGAGACCCCCAAATTTGGGTCAGGGACCCCCAAACCCCACTCGAGACCCCCAAAATTTGGGTCGGGGACCCCCAAATCGGGTCAGGGACCCCCAAATCGGGTCAGGGACCCCCAAACCCATCTCGAGGACCCCCAAACAATCCCCCCCCCATATCCATTCCCTCCCCCCCCCCCCCCACTCCCCCCGCCCCCTCCCCAATTCCCCCCCCCCCCCGAAGATGGATGGCGGCGGCGGCGCGGCGTTAATTAACACTTGAGTTAATTAGTTCGGGCCCATTTACGAGTAAAATGTTTTGATTTGGGGAATTTGCATTCGGCGGCGCCGGGTGATGGATGGGGGGGCTGGGAATTTGGGGAGGGGGCTGGGAATTTGGGGAGGGGGTGGGAAATTTTGATCCTTTTCTTCACCCTCCAATTCCTTTTTTTTTTATTTTTTTGCCCCAAATCAACCCCGCTTTTCCCCTCCTTTTTGCCACCAAATCGCCGTTTTTTCCCGCAGAAATGGACTTACCGCACCCCAAAATGCCGTTTCTCTCCCCAAAATTGCATTTTCCCCAAAAAAATCCCGTTCCTCCCAAAAAAATTCCCTTTTCCCCCCAAAAATTCCCCTTTCCCCCCAAAATTCCCCCTTTCCCCCCAAAATTTCCCCTTTCCCCCAAAAAATTGCGTTTTCCTCCCAAAAATCCCCTTCCCCCCAAAAAAATTCCCTTTCGCCCCCAAAATTCCCCCTTTTACCCCCAAAATCCCCTTTCCCCCAAAAAAATCCTCTTTTTCCCCCCAAATACCCCTTTTCACTCCCCAAAATCCCCTTTCCCCCCAAAAAATCCTCTTTTTCCCCCAAAATTCCCCTTTTCACTCCCAAAATTCCCCTTTCTCCCCCAAAACCCAATTTTCCACAAAAAAAATCCGCTCTTCTCCCCAAAAATCCCCTTTTTCTCCCCAAAATCGCGTTTCCCCCCAAAATTCCCCTTTTCCCCCCCAAAACAGAGCCCAAATTCCGTCACCTCCATATAAGGTCATAGCCCCGCCCACCGCCCGCCCCAACTCTGCATAATGAGCCACAAACCACGCCCACATTATTAAAATTCATAAGCACGCATCTAAACCACGCCCACCTCTAAAGCCACGCCCACAAAACCACATATGGGAAATAGCCACGCCCAAAATCTGCATATGCCGATTGCTCCGCCCACCGTTACGTCATCGCGTGGCCCCGCCCCCGCCACGCGTTCCCGCGGTTCCGGCCCGAGGTGAGGGGGGGCGGTTCCCATGGAAACGGGGCGGGGGGACCCCAAAATCCGCGGATTTAACCCCAAAAATCAGCGGGATAACCCCAAAATCCTCCCTGGGACCCCAAAATCCGCGGATTTAACCCCAAAAATCAGCGGGATAACCCCGAAATCCTCCCCGGGATGCCAAAATCAGCTGATTTAACCCCGAAATCCTCCCCGGGATGCCAAAATCAGCGGAATAACCCCGAAATAATCCCCGGGACCCCAAAATCAGCGGATTTAACCCCAAAATCAGCGGGATAACCCCGAAATCCTCCCCGGGACCCCAAAATCAGCGGATTTAACCCCGAAATCCTCCTTGGGACCCCAAAATCCTCCCCGGGACCCCAAAATCAGCGAAGTTAACCCAAAAATTAGCGGAATAACCCCGAAATCCCCCCGGGACCCCAAAATCAGCGGATTTAACGCCAAAATCCTCCCCGGGACCCCAAAATCCTCCCCGGGACCCCAAAATCAGCGGAATTTACCCCAAAATCCTCCCCGGGACCCCAGAATCAGCGGAATAACCCCGAAATCCTCCCCGGGACCCCAAAATAAGCATATTTAACCCCAAAATCCACAGATTTAACCCCAAAATCCCCCACGGGACCCCAAAATCTTCCCCGGACCCCAAAGATGGGGGCTGGACCCCAAATCCACGGATTTAACCCCAAAATCCCCCCAGGGGCCAAAAGCCGCCGAACGAGCCCAAAACCCTTCAGGAATGCCCAAAATTCTCCAAATTTCCCAAAATCCCCAAAATTTCCTAAAATCCCCCAGATTTCCCAAATCCCCGCGGTTTTTCCCCAAATCTCCCCAAATTTCCCAAATCCCCGTGGTTTCTCCCCAAATCTCCCAAATCCCCGCGGTTTCTCCCCAAATTTCCCAAATTCCCGCGGTTTCTCCCCAAAGCCGCCATGGCCGAGGTCGCGCCCCCCCCTCAGGAGCCGCCGGGGGCCGAGAGCGACCCCAGAGGGGGGCTGGGCAGGTGAGGGGGGATTTGGGGGGATTTGGGGGGATTTTGGGGGGATTTTGGGGGGATTTTGGGGGGGTTTGGGGGCTTTGGGGGGATTTGGGGAACTTGGGGATTTTGGGGGGATTTGGGGGATTTTGGGGAAATTTGGGGGATTTGGGGGGATTTTGGGGAAATTTGGGGATTTTGGGGGGATTTGGGGGAATTTTGGGGGTATTTGGGGGAAATTTGGGGATTTTGGGGGATTTTGGGGTGGATTTTGGGGGAATTTGGGGCAGTTTTGGGGCAGTTTTGGGGTGTAGGATTCCCGGGTGTATTTGGGGTTTTTAGGGTGGATTTTTGGGGTAAATTTCTGGGATTTTGGGGTCCCCCCTGCAGGCTGTCCCCCCCCGGCTGGGCCCGGCGCTGGCTCGGGGCTCTGGGGCAGTTTTGGGGCAGTTTTAGGGTGGATTTTGGGGGAATTTGGGGCAGTTTTGGGGCAGTTTTGGGGCCGGGGTTTTATGGGTGAATTTGTGGTGTTTTTGGGGTGAATTTTGTGTATTTTGGGGTCCCCCCCAGGCTGTCCCCCCCCGGCTGGGCCTGGCGCTGGCTCGGGGCCTTGGGGCAGATTTGGGGTGGATTTTGGGGGATTTTGGGGCAGTTTTGGGGCCAGGGTTTTATGGGTGAATTTGTGGGATTTTTGGGGTGAATTTTCTGTATTTTGGGTCCCCCCCAGGCTGTCCCCCCCCGGCTGGGCCTGGCGCTGGCTCGGGGCCTTGGGGCAGTTTTGGGGCAGTTTTAGGGTGGATTTTGGGGGAATTTGGGGCAGTTCTGGGGCAGTTCTGGGGCAGTTTTGGGGCCGGGTTTTTTGTGGGAATTTCAGGGAATTTTTTGGGGTAAATTTCCGGGATTTTGGGTCCCCCCTGCAGGCTGTCCCCCCCCGGCTGGGCCTGGCGCTGGCTCGGGGCGCGCCGGGCGGGGCTGCGGCCGTGGGGGTCGTTCCTGGACCAGCGGCGATTTGGGGTCCCCCGAGATTTGGGGGAGCTGTGGCGGCGCCTGGGGCAGAACGCCGAGAGGTTCCAGAGCAACTACCTGCTGCTGTTCCTGGCGCTGCTGCTCTACTGCCTGTGAGCAATTCCGGGATTTTCGGGAATTTTGGGAATTTTTGGGGAATTTTTTGGAATTTTTGGGGAATTTTCGGGGGTTTTATGGCATTTTTTGGGGATTTTCTGTGATTTTTTTGGCATTTTTGGGGATTTTTTTGGCATGTTTGGGATGTTATTTCCCTGCTGCTCTTCCTGGGGCTGCTGCTCTACTGCCTGGGAGGAAATTTGGGAATTTTCAGGAATTTTTGGGAATTTTTTGGGAAAAATTCGGGAGTTTTATGCCATTTTGGGGGGGTTTAACGGCATTTTTGGGGGATTTTCTATAATTTTTTGGGCATTTTTGGGAATTTTTTTGGCATTTTTGGGACATTAATTCCCTGCTGCTGTTCCTGGCGCTGCTCCTGTACTGCCTGTGAAGAATTTGGGAATTTCGGGGATTTTGGGGAATTTTTTGGGAATTTTTTCAGGGGTTCCATAGCGATTTTTGGGGATTTCTTGGTGGTTTTGGGGGCGTTGTTCCGGTTTGTCCCAGTTCGTCCCAGTCCCTCCCAGTCCCTCCCAGTAACTCCCAGTAACTCCCAGTTCTCCCAGTTTGAGCTCCCAGTAACTCCCAGTGCTCCCAGTCTGAACTCCCAGTGCTCCCAGTAACTCCCAGTTCTCCCAGTTTGAGCTCCCCGTGCTCCCAGTAACTCCCAGTTCTCCCAGTTTGAGCTCCCAGTGCTCCCAGTAACTCCCAGTGCTCCCAGTTTGAGCTCCCAGTCCCTCCCAGTGCTCCCAGTTTGAGCTCCCAGTGCTCCCAGTAACTCCCAGTTTGAGCTCCCAGTGCTCCCAGTAACTCCCAGTTCTCCCAGTTTGAGCTCCCAGTGCTCCCAGTAACTCCCAGTTCTCCCAGTTTGAGCTCCCAGTGCTCCCAGTCCCTCCCAGTGCTCCCAGTTTGAGCTCCCAGTGCTCCCAGTAACTCCCAGTTCTCCCAGTTTGAGCTCCCCGCTGCTCCTCGTTGCTCTCGGGGTGTTTTTCGGCGTCGCCGTTCGGCTCCGGGCCCGGGAGGCGCCGCTGGTGCTGCTGGGTGAGACTGGGATGGACTGGGATGGACTGGGAGGGACTGGGAGGGACTGGGATGGACTGGGAATGGGACTGGGAGGGACTGGGATAAACTGGGAGGGGAGTGGGAGGGAACTGGGAGGGACTGGGAATGGGACTGGGATATATTGGGATGGACTGGGAGGGAACTGGGATAAACTGGGAGGGGATTGGGAGCAACTGGGATGGACTGGGAGGGGATTTGGGGGGGACTGGGATGGACTGGGAGGTCAAACTGAAGAAACTGGGAGGGAACTGGTCCGTACTGGTCCGTACTGGTCCATACTGGTCCATACTGGTCTGTACTGGTTTATACTGGTCTATACTGGTTTATACTGGTTTATACTGGTCTATACTGGTTTCCCGCCAGGCCGTGAGTTAAGCCCCGCCCACCAGCTGGGCGTGGCCGCCGGGGTTTCCCTGCCCCTGTTCTGGCTGGCGGGGGCGGGGGCGGCGCTCTTCTGGCTGCTGGGTGAGACCCCCAAAAATACCCCAAAAATACTCCCGGGACCCCCAAAAATCCCCCCAAAAATCCCCCCGGGACTCCCCCAAAAACCCCCTGCGATCCCCCCAAAAATCCCCCCGGGACTCCCCCAAAAATCCCCCCAAAAATCCCCCCGGGACTCCCCCAAAAATCCCCCCAAAAATCCCCCTGGGACCCCCCAAAAATCCCACCAAAAATCCTCCCCGGGACCCCCCCCAAAAAATCCCGACCCCAAAAACCCCCGGGACATCCCCAAAAATCCCCCTGGGACCCCCCAAAAATGCCCCTGGGACCCTCCAAAATCCCCCTGGGACCCCCCACAAGAATCCCCCCAAAAATCCCCCCGGGACCCCCCAAAAATCCCCGGGACCCCCCCCAGAAACCCCCCGGGACCCCCCAAAAATCCCCCCCAAAAAACCCCCCGGGACCCCCCCTGGGACACCCCAAAATCCCCCCGGGACCCCCCCAAAAAATCCCCCCCAAAAATCCCCCAGGGACCCGCCAAAAATCCCCCCAAAAATCCCCCCGGGACCCCCCCAGAAATCCCCCCGGGACCCCCCAAAAATCCCCCCGGGATCCCCCCAAAAAATCCCCCCAAAAATCCCCCCGGGACCCCCCCTAAAACCCCAAGACCCTTCCCCCCCAAAAACCCCCTGGGACCCCCCAAAAATCCCCCCAAAAATCCCCCTGGGACCCCCCAAAAATCACCCCAAAAATCCTCCCCAAGAGCCCCCAAAAACCTTCCCCGGGACCCCTCAAAATCCCCCCGGGACCCCCCAAAAATCCACCTCTAAAACCCCCCCGGGACCCCCCAAAACCCCCCCAGGACCCCCCAACCCCCCCCCCCTCACCCCCCCGCGGTTTTTGGGGGGGGGTCCCGGTTTCGGGGTCCCCCCTGACCCCCCCTCCCCCCCAGGAGCCGCTCTGGTGTTTTTGGGGTCCCACGCGGCGTTCCGGGAGTTGGAGCCCCCCGAGAGCGCCGAGCTGCAGATGGAGCCCGTGTGACCCAAAATATCCCGAATTCACCCCAAAATCTCCCCAAAATCACCCCAAAAATACCCCAAAATTACCCCAAAAATACCCCAAAATCACCCCAAAATCACCCCAAAAATACCCCCCAAAATACCCCAAATTCACCCCAAAATCGCCCCAAAAGTACCCCCAAAATACCCCAAATTCACCCCAAAATCACCCCAAAAACACCCCCGAAAATCCCCCAAAATCACCCCAAAAATACCCCCCAAAATTACCCCAAAAATACCCCCCAGAATACCCCAAAATCACCCCAAAATTCACCCCAAAATTACCCAAAAATTCACCCCAAAATTACCCCAAATCACCCCAAAAATACACTTCGAGAGCCCTGAGCTGGAGATGGAGCCTGTGTGACCCAAAATCCCCCAAATTCACCCCAAAATCACCCTAAAATTCACCCCAAAATTACCCCAAAAATACCCCCCAAAATACCTCCAAATCACCCCAAAATCCCCTCAAAATTACCCAAAACCACCAAAAAATAGCCCCAAATCCCCCAAACTCCCCCTCTCGCCCCTCCCCCCGATTTTGGGGTCCCCCTCCCCAGTTTTGGGGTTCGGGACCCCCCGAGCAGAATAAAGGAGTCACGTGACCCAAACCCCGTCTGGACCCCCCAAATTATTTCCAAAATCCCCCCAAATTCCCCCCCAAATTCCCCCTTTCCCCCAAAAATTCCTCTTTTCCCCCCCACAAATTCCCCATTTTCCCCCCCAAATTCCCCCCAAATTCCCCTTTTTCCCCCCAAATTCTACCCCAAATTTCCCCTTTCCCCCTAAATTCTAACCCAAATTCCCTCTTTCCCCCCCCAAATTCTACCCCAAATTTCCCCTTTTTCCCCCCAAATTCTACCCTAAAATCCCCCTTTTCCCCCCCAAATTCCCCCTTTTTCTACCGCCAAATTCCCCCAAATTTCCCCCAACTTCCAGCCCCAAATTCCCTCTTTTTCCCCCCAAATTCTACCCCAAATTCCCCCTTTTTCCCCCCCAAATTCTACCCCAAATTCCCCCTTTTCCCCCCCAAATTTTCCCCCAAATTCCCCCAAATTTCCCCCAACTTCATCCCCAAATTCCCTCCTTTCCCCCCAAATTCCACTCGGGCTCCACTTTCTGCTTTATTTGGTAAATTTCCATTTTTTTCCCACTTTTCGTGGTTTTTCTTTTTTTTTTTTTTTCCCGCGGGAGGGGGAAATCTTTTATTTATTTATTTATTTATTTATCATTTCTTTTATTTTTTATTTCTTCTTCTTTTTCTTCGTTTCCCCCTCCCTTTTTTTCCCGTTTTTGACTTTTTTTTTTTGTTGTGTTTTTTTTGTTTTTTCCACACGACAATGGGAGGGGTGGGGGAGGGGGAGACCCCCCCCAAAAATATCCCCAGTGCGACCCCTCCCCCTCCCCTTTTTGGGGCAAAAAAGGGGAATTTTTTCTGAGGAGAAAAGGGATTTTTTGGGGGGGAAAAAGGGTTTTTTGGGGGGGAAAATGGGATATTTTTTGGGGGGGAAAAGGGGATTTTTTGGGGGGGTCTCGGTTGATTTTTGGGGTTTTTTTTGGGGGGGTCAGTAGTAGGTTTCCTTCTCCACCCAACCTGGAAAAAAGGGGAAAAGTGAGTGACACCAAAATTACCAAAATTTCTCACAAAATTCCCTCCAAAATTCCCCCCAAATTTCCTTCCAAATTTCCCCAAATCCCCTTAAAATTTCTCAAAATATTCCCCCCAAAATTCCTCCATATTCCCCACAAAATTCCCCACAAAATTACCTCAAAATCCCCCCCAAAATTCCTCCCAAAATTTCCCAAATACCTCCAAAATTCCCTCCAAAAAATCCCCCCAAATCCCCTTAAAATCCTTCCCAAAATCCCCCCCCAAATTTCCTGCAAAATTCATCGAAAATCTCCCCAAATTCACCCCAAAATTCCCCAAATTTTCCCCAAAATCCCCCCAAAACCCCCCAAAATTCCCCAATATTTCCCCAAAATCTCCCAAAATGCCCGAAATTGCCCAATATCGCGGGAAACGGCCCCAAACCTCCGGGGTTGCGGCGCAGGATGAGTTTGCGGATCTCGTCGTAGACGAAGATGAGGAAACTGTAGGGGAAGGCGCAGAACCACCAGCTGGGCCTGGGGAAATTGGGGAGGGGGCGTCAGGGGGGGGTCACCCCAGGAAGGGGCAGAACCCCCAAAAAACGGCGAAAATCGGCGAAAAAACGGTGAAAAAACTGTGAAAATCGGTGAAAAAACGGGGAAAATGCGTGAAGAAAACGGTGAAAATACACAAAAATAGGGGAGAAATATGCAAAAAATAAAGAGCAAAATACATCAATACACCAGAAAATGCTCAAAATCCCTAAGTGCTGAAAATCCTCCCAAAAATGCTGAAAATCTCCCCAAAAATGGTTAAAAATCACAAAAAATGCTGAGAATATACTAAAAATGGTGAAAATGCACCAAAAAATGGTGAAAATACACAAAAATAGGGGAAAAATAGGCCAGAAAATGCTCAAAATCCCTAAATGCTGAAATTCCCCCCAAAATGCTGAAAATCCCCAAAGCAATGGTGCAAATAAATGATAAAATCGGCAAAATACACCCAAAAATGGTGAAAATACACCAAAAATGGGCAAAATCCATGAAAAAAATCCTCAAAATCTCCATGAGAATCACTCCAAACCCTAAAAAATTCTCAAACCCCACAAAAATCGCTCCAAACCCCACAAAAATCGCTGAAAATTCCCCAAAATTGCTCAAAGTCCCCCAAAAAATCCCTAAAAAATCACTCAAAAGCTCCCAAAAAATCCTCAAAACCCCCCAAAAATCGCTCAAAACCCCCCAAAAATCGCCCAAACCGCCCCAAAATCTCCAGCCCCGCCCCTTTGGGGGGTCTCAGAGCCCCCTCCCCAAATCGGGGCTCACTTCAGGGGGTCCCAGCCCTGTCCCGGTTATTTTGGGGGGGGTCCCAGCCCTGTCCCGGTTATTTTGGGGGTCTTTGGGGTATTTTGGGGGGGGTCCCAGCCCTGTCCCGGTTATTTTGGGGGGGGTCCCAGCCCTGTCCCGGATTTTGGGGGTCCCAGAGCCCCCTCCCCAATTCGGGGCTCACTTCAGGGGGTACATGCGCAGCGCCACGTCCATGCCGGGGCAGTAGGACAGGAACGCCGCCAGCGCCGTCTCCTCGAACAGCCCGAAAATCAATATTTTATTCCTGCAAAAAACGGGGGAAACCCCCCAAAATCCCGTCAGCGGAGACCCCTCCCCACAAAAAAATAAATAAAAATAAAAACAAATAAAAATCCCTCCCCGGCGCCCCCAAACCTGAGCGGATACACCCCAAAATCCCGGATTGCCCCGCGGGGGATGATTGGGGGTGTTGGACACAGGCCCCAAAAATCGCTTTGGGGGTCACCCAAAACTCCCCAAAATTCCCCCAAAAATCCCTGGAAAATTGCTCCAAAATCGTTTCAAATTCCCCCAAAATGCCTCCTAAATCCCCTCAAAAGTCCCCCTAAATTCCTCATAAATTCCCCCAAAAATCCCCCCAAATTCCTCCTAAATTCCCCCCAAAAATCCCCCCAAAACTCCCCAAAATTGCCCCAAAAATCCCTGGAAAATCATTCCAAAATCGCTTCAAATTCCCCCAAAATACCTCCTAAATCCCCTCAAAAGTCCCCCTAAATTCCTCCTAAATTCCCCCAAAAATCCCCCCAAAATTTGGGCTCCCCTCCAGGAATTCGGGAACCCCCCAGAATTTCGGGGACCCCCCCCAAAATTTCGGGGACCCCCCCCAAATCCAGCCCCTCCAGCCCCCATCGATGCTGCATCCCCCTCCCCTTTTTTGAGGATGTTCCCAGCGATTCAGCGATTCTCCCGGGATTTCAGGCGCCCCCCCGGGATTTCGGGGACTCCTCAGAATTTCGGGGACCCCCCTGCACCCCCAAATCCCTAAAAACCCAAATCCAAATCCAACCCCCATCGATGCCGCATCCCTCTGCCCGTATTTCTGGGGACGTTCCCAGCAATTCAGCGATTCTCCCGGGATTTTGGGAACCCCGCCGGGATTTTGGGGAACCCCTCGGGATTTCGGGGACCCCCCCCGGGATTTCGGGGACCCCCCGGGGTTTCGGGGACCCCTCACTTCATGCCCTGCTGGAAGACGGAGTTGCGGCGCGTTTTGCAGATGATGAGATCCGCCCACTGCACCACCACGATGCTGACGAAGAACGCCGTGTGGCACGTGAACTCCACCACCTTGCGCTGCTCGTAGGTCTGGGGGGGCGGGGGGCGTCAGGGACCCCCCCAAATTCCGGCACCCGCCCCCCCCGAGTGATCCCCCCGCGGGTGGGGGGAGAAAAAGGGGAAAATCCCCCCAAAAATGGGATTTGGGGTGTGCAGCACCCAGCCCGTGCCAGGATTTGGGGTGCGAAGACCCCCACCCCAGTTTTGGGATTTGGGGTGAGCAGACCCCCGTGCCAGGATTTGGGGTGCGAAGACCCCTCCCCAATTCTGGGATTTGGGGTGCACAGACCCCCCCAGTCCTGGGATTTGGGGTGCGAAGACGCCTCCCCATCCCAGGATTTGGGGTGCGAAGAGACCCCCGTGCCAGGATTTGGGGTGCAAAGACCCCTCCCCATGCTGGGATTTGGGGTGCACAGACCCCCGTGCCAGGATTTGGGGTGCAAAGACCCCTCCCCATGCTGGGATTTGGGGTGCACAGACCCCCGTGCCAGGATTTGGGGTGCAAAGACCTCCCCCAGTCCTGGGATTTGGGGTGCACAGACCCTCCCCATGCTGGGATTTGGGGTGTGCAGACCCCCATTTTTCAGGATTCTGATTTTTTGGGATTCCCATTTTTTGGGACCCCCATTTTCAGAGCCCCCCATTTTCAGAGCCCCCCATTTTCAGAGATCCCCATTTTTCAGGATTCTGATTTTTGGGGGATCCGGGTTTTTTGGGACCCCTGTTTTCAGAACCTCCCATTTTGGGGGCTCCCGGTTTTTTTGGGACCCCCATTTTCAGAGCCCC